TTATTTTTAATCATTTATTATCCATCCATCCATCCATTTTCATCTGCTTATCCGGAGTCGGGTCGCGGGGGCAGCAGCCTAAGGCGAGAGGCCCAGACTTCCCTCTCCCCAGCCACTTAGGCCAGCTCCTCTGGGGGATTCCCAAGGCTTTCCCTGGCCAGGTGTGAGACATATGGGCCATTCCCATCTGTACCTGGTCGGCCCGGATAGCATAGCTTGCTTACATATCTTGGTGGCCTGCCTTTTTCAGGGTGCAACAAGACTGTTTTTCAGCCCTCTTCTCGAGGTGGTCTGCTTCAGGCTGACCAGGGCCAACACACCCACTGCTGACAGCAAATTCACACCTTCCATTAGAGCAAGCCTCTGATTGGTGGGTGGAATCAGCCCGCATGGGCTTAAGGCATGCTCATTTCATCATCATTCATTGATTACCTAGAAGCTGAAAATGTCTCATGCATTCCTTGCATACCTGAGCAAGGATGTGTGGAATCAACCGGGCCAGGCTGGGGCTGACTGGAGCTATCCGGGCAGGGCCGACCAGTACAGATGGAAATGACCCATATGTCCCTCCACCGTGTCCTGGGTCTACCTTTAGGTCTCCTCCCGGTTGGACGTGCCCAGAAAACCTCACCAGGGAGGCGTCCAGGAGGCATCCTGACCAGATGCCCGAGCCACCTCAACTGGCTCCTCTCGATGTGGAGGAGCAGCTAATCTACTCCGAGCCCCTCCCTGATGATCGAGCCTCTCACCCTATTTCTAAGGGAGAGCCCAGACACTCTTCGGAGAAAACTCATTTTGGCCGTTTGTATTCGCGACCTCGTTCTTTCGGTCACTACCCAAAGCTCATGACCATAGGTGAGGGTAGGAACGTAGATCGACCGGTAAATCGAGAGCTTCGCCTTCTGACTCAGCTCTCTCTTCACCACGACAGACGGGTACAATGCCCGCATCACTGCAGATGCAGCATCAATCTGCCTATCGATCTCACGCTCCATCTTTCCCTCACTCGTGACCCCGAGATACTTAAACTCCTCCACTTGGGGCAGGACCTCATCCCTGACCCGGAGAAGGCATTCTACCATTTTCCGAATCAAGACCATGGTCTCGGATTTAGAGGAGCCGATTCTCATCCCAGCTGCTTCACACTCGGCTGCGAATTTATTTATTAATTATGTTAATAATAATAATAGATCTTAACAGAAGAGCACAAAGTCTTCCAGGAGAAAAATAACCCGACTGCTAATAAACAGCCCAGAACTCAATCAGGCTGCAAAAATACATGTTTTTCTCATGCTGTCACACTTTTCAACCGTTTTATTTGTGTGTGTGTGTGTGTGTGTGTGTGTGTGTGTGTGTGTGTGTGTGTGTGTGTGTGTGTGTGTGTGTGTGTGTGTAACGTTGCTTGTTTTGTGTCATTTCTGTGATCCTCTACTGATCGACTGATTGGGGTGGTATGAATTGTTCTGTCACATAAAAGCTGAATGAGAACATTTCCCACCTGTTAACCCTGACACATGTTGCTAGGTAGATTCCTACAGAAAGCCTGTGTGAAGATCAGCAGTCCCCATTCTTCTACAAAGTAAAGACTGCAGCAGCATCAAGTCAGGAATGGACGTTTTAGGTGGAAATCTGATGAATATAAAATTCTGAATTTCTCAGCCGACAAGGATGCACGGACAGAGTGACCCGCACTTTTTTCAAAACCAAACAATTTTCCCAAAAACCATTTTAGCTGTTCCTACTCAGAAACAAGGATGTGACTTTGCTTCTAGACCAGCAGGTGCTCAGATGACTGTCACCTCCTGGTTCTTCCTCTTGATGGAATCCAGAGTCCGACTCCGAGCGCTCCCCTTACGGACTCTGTCTCCCAGCTGAGGCGAAGGAGGCGAACCTGCAGCTTGAGTTGAACAGGAGGAGTGTAACAAATCCTCTCTGTGCTGATGGTGTGCCGACTCCGTGTGCGCCTCCCAGCTGGATGTCTGCTCCCCTCCCTGAGACTGATCCCTGGCTGTCTGCATGGCAGGACTCCTGGTGGGCTGCAGGTCCCTGAGGAGCTCCAGCAGCTCTCTCTTTTCCAGCTCTGCTTCAGCCAGCTCCTGTCTCCTCAGACGCTCTGCTCCTAGCAGGGCGCGCATGTCGCATATCACACTGGATAATTGACCCTGCACAGAAGGGTTCATTACCTGACATGGACCAAACACCAGATGCTTCCCTGAGTGAGATAATAAAGGAAAGACCAACCAACCACCTTAAGCTCCTCCACCTCGTTCTTCAGCTGCGATTCTTTCTGCACCATGTGTCTCCTCTGTGAGTCCAACCGAGACTCCATCTCTCGCCTCACCTCCTCCACCTTGCACAGCATCTCCGTCCTGCAGATGAAGCCAAAATACCACCCTATCAACAATTTAATCTGATGTCAGATTTGAGTTTTGTTGTCATGGAAACTCACCTCAACAGCTCCACCTCGGTGTGCAGCTCCGCCACACAGTTATGCTGGTTCGTGGAGAGGAGAGAGTGGCCGCAGCCGTTGGCACACCCTCTGCTCCGGAAGTTACATTCTGACAGGTGAGCGTCCAAGCCCCGCCTCTCTACCTGCACAGGGCAGCCTGAGAGGACAGAGTCACAACAACCGATTCAAATGTGCACACGTGAGATCTGGAGTCATTCAAAACAGAAAGTTGGTTTTCAGACTTTTGGAAAAGAAAGAAAATTCCTTTGTTTATCTGGAGATGTCAACGTCACGGCAGCAATAACGTTCACGCTGTAACTTTACTTACATTCATAACCTCAAAAACACACAATTCACAGGAGTTTCTAACGAAGTAGAAAGTTTAAATCTGAGAAAAGTAGATTTTTGAACATTAATTATTGTTCTAAACCAATTTGATGATGCTTGCTTTTCCTGCAATATTTAAAGAGCAAGTCACCCCTAATCAACTTTTTTTTGCTGATAAACTATATAAATGCGTGTCTTATCGTGCTGCAGACACATGTAGTCAATAATTTGGCACTTCAGTGCATTTTAGTTAAAATTTAAATGTTCTGCCTAATGCGCTGCTCTGGGTGGCTGCATGTTGGAGTGACTCTGTTGACTATACATAAGTTTTGCCTTTTCTTGGGCATTTTTTCTTCTAGTTTCTCAAGAAAAACTGTTTTTTTGGACACTGTACATTTCTGTTTCTGGTGCTGTGACGCTTGGAGGATTTTTACTGCTATTTTTTAGCTTTTTGAGCATTTGTTATGATTAAACCATTAAAATGTTTTTATTATTGGTCGCATTATTTTATTTTTATAGTGCTGTTAACTGTTCTCCTATTTTATTGTTTTTATTAGGAATTTTTATCTCTGACTATTTATGCTTTGTTCTTATATATTTTGCCTGTTCTTATTGTGTTTCTTGGTCAAGCATTTGGCTTTTTTATGTACATCACTTTGGTTAGCTGCCATGCTATTTTGATATGGTGCTTTATAAATAAATATGGTACGGTATGTTATGGTATGGAAGTGTCTTCAGTCAGAGGCTTCTTCAGTTTGGCTGCAACACTGACCGCTACTGGAGATCCTTCCTGCCAACAGCCGTTGTAATATACAACAACTCTTTGATGACTTGATTATTATTATTATTCTGAGCTACTACAGCAATCAGTTTCCCTCTGGGATTAATAAAGTATTTTTGAATTGAATTGAATTGAATTGAATTAAAACTGTCAGTGTTGAGCGGTTGTCAGGTAAAAAATCCGCACTGCATTTGAATTTAAATCTGCCATCGCTATCGGCTAAGAGGTATGCTATGATGTTAACTGGTACATTATGATGTCACAATGTCGTTGTGAGCCTGTGTGTGTGTATTTGTTGGCGGCTCCGCCCTCTCGGTCTGCCAGGCAACAGCATTTGTTGCATTTTTCAAACAGGAAGTGGGAGTGGAGTAAGAATCTGGTAGGGGGTGACTTGCTCTTTAACTGTTCACAAAGCACACGGAAATAGTACTTAGGTGGCAAGGTGGAGAAAGGAGGGCCCGGGCGGGATTCGATCCCCAGACTCCCGGGTGAGAGTCATACGCTCTAACCAGTCAGCCAAAGGGACGTCCCCTTGGCCAAGTAGCCAGGGCGCATGATCAATCGGGACATTGTGACAGGACACACACTGCCACACTGAGATGCAAAATTAACAAGAATAAAACGCAACCCTGTACAATGGTCGCTGTGTAAAACACACAAGGACTGAAATTCTAACATGAGCTGAGAGAAACTGACAGAATTTAAGAAACCCTCATTCTTCACAAAACCATTTTAACCCCCGACAAAATCACAGCAACCAAACAGCGTAATAACCTTGAAACTGCAAAAAGCCACACCCACACCTGTACCTACCACAACAGTGATGCATGCACCCTCCACCTGATGAAGAGAAACGTTCTGTATTCAGGCTTATAAATGTATGATTACAGAAAGCTCCGACTCTGGGAGCTGTCAGCTTGCATGTGCACGTGTTGCAAAGTAACCATGGCTACAGATGAACCACCTGTTGTTCACCCACAGGTGTCGGGTTTCCTTTGTTTCATGCGCATCCACACAGATAATTCACATTTAAATGAATACGATCAGTAGAAATGAATCAATACATCGGTGGGTTGAACTGTTTTCTTACCTGTGTTGGAGCAGGAAATGAAGGCAAACTCACAATCATCCTCGTGTGTGTGGAGGCTCTCCAGGGTGCAGATCACCCCACAACCCTGCTCTGCATTCACACAACGGATCTGCAGGCGGTTCAGGTCATTACGCATGTACCTGTGACAAAACTGTCTCTCAGGTGTTGCACATGAATGAGTAGCGCATCAGCTCAGCTGCAGAGACGCACCTGTACAGCGGTTTGAGGCTGCTCAGGTCCAGCGGCAGCCTGTCTTCAGGGCAGGAGTGGTGATGGAGCAGCCAGCTGCTGATGCAGGAGCTGCAGTAGGCATGCTCACAGGGAGCCTGGAGGGGGCGCTCCAGCACGTCTCGACACACACAGCACAGCAGACCCTCATTCACAAAACCCACAAACCTCTCCAGATCAAAGCCCATCCTGCAGCTTCACAGATTGTAGGTTTTACAACGCTTAACTGAAGATTCCTGAGTTTTCCTAAGACAGCATTCCTACCTGAAGGGTTCATCCAACTCCTTTCCTTTTGTGTTTTTAACCGCACTTGTTCCTCTGCAAGAATTCTCTTTTATCTTTCTGCTGCTGTTCTCCTTTCTTCATCCTCACTCTTCACACCATCCGAGTGAGCAGATGCTCTCCTGTAAAGCCCTTCCCCAACACAGAGTCCCCATGGGAGAGGTTTCCTTGACAACAAGGAGTCAGGATACAGCCAGGCAGCTGTCAGATGGGAACAGATCAGGTGGACAGAATTACTAAAAGAAAAGGAAACAGTCATTCAGACGAAAACCCTCAAACTGCAGTAGATTGACTCAGTTTCTGCCTGAGAACTCAGGCTGTGAAAGTGACATAGCCTTTACAGATCATCTCTCTTTAATGACCAGTCGTGTTTGAGGATTCTCCCTTTTAGTTTGTCTCTGGATGTGGGATTACCGAGGATTACACTCTCTCCCTGCCTGATTGGATTAAAGAGCAATGAGCCTCTGTCAGGACAAAACACGCAAGGACACGAATCAAATGTTGCACTTTTAAGTGTTTAAAGTAATGCAGTAAGTAAAAGGAGCAAAACTTTTTTTTAGAAAAGTTCTCAATTAAACAGGAACGCTTTGTTTCATGATGATCACACAAATATCATCCCACTATTTTCATTAAAATAAGTGTTTTTGAATATGTAGAGAAGAAGTGAGATTGATTTATAATAGTAAAAGTTAATCATGTAAAGTATGTTTGTACATTAAACGCAATCAGTTATAGTGAGGTATAAATCAAACATACCCTAGTGGTTTTGGCCACACCTTCCGACGGATTCAACCAATCAGATTCTGCAAACCGTTCAGCGGGAGAAACAGAATCGGACAGATACATTTGTAAGAATTTCGATGACATTTTTCATCTTAAACGTCTTTATGACACTTTAAACTCGTGTTGGTATGTATAACACAACTTGTAACACCAGAAACACACCCGAGTTCAGACCGTTTTAAGGCTGTTAGCCGCGGTTTGCTAATAACGTGTAGTTTGTTAACCCGTCAGAGCTAGCTTAATGTGCGTTCGTAGCTTCAGTGGATTGAGAAGACTTGAGTGATAAAAGCAGAAACCCTAACGTGTAACTAAATCTGTTTAAGGTCGTGTTTGCTCTGTTTCACCACGTTACGGTAGAAAACGCACTTATCGGACAAATATCTATTGTTTGAAAATGCAAAACAAATGTGTGGTTGGGCCAGATTATCAACCAGAAAATAAAAGTTCTGGCATCTGACAAGCGAACGTTCATCAGATACGAAACCCATGAGTAATTAGAGTTGAATATTTGTACTGGCCCAACAGAAATTGATTAGAATTGACCTGTTTTAAATGAATGAAAAACATGAATGAATGAATATTTTTCTGCCGCTGGAAAATATCCATGAATTTCATCACATCTCTGTTGATACATGAATTTTTCTCTCTAGGTTGAATAACAATTTTGAGTTGCCACCTGAAGAATGCGCCGATCAGCAGCTCCCAGTCAGCTTTTGGGCAATGCAACGAAAAAACCTCGCTTTGCACCACCAGGAGCTACTGGTTTGTTTCTTAGACCAGAATCCAAACCTTCGGCCTCAAAACTCAGTCTAGACAACGCACCCGATAAGGCAAGTTTCTACCAGCATTTCAATTCAAAAGTACTTTATTAATCCCAGAGGGAAATTGATTGCTGTAGTAATAATCAAGTCATCAAAGAGTTGTTGTATATTACAATGGCTGTTGGCAGGAAGGATCTCCAGTAGCGGTCAGTGTTGCAGCCAAACTGAAGAAGCCTCTGACTGAAGACACTCTTCCGTTGTCGGACAGTCTTGTGAAGAGAATGCTCAGGGGTGTCCATCATTTTCTTGATTCTCTGGAGAATCCTTCTTTGCGTTATCTCCTCCAGTGGTTCAGAAACTGCCGAAACTCTGGCTGAGTCCTTGAAAGGGCTTGGAGTTCCTCCATCTTGTTGGCCAGTGATCTCACATCGCCCGTTATGATCGATGGAAGCGATGGTTTGAATTTCCTCTTTCTCTGTCTCCATTTTGCTCCCGCTCTGCACCCACGCTTCTTGCGTTTTAGCTCATTTGGGATTTGTGGCTTCAGTTGAGGTATTATTTCAGCCTGTCCAATGTTAATTAGCTGCTCCCGATTGTAAACAAATTTGTTGCCATGGTTACGCATCATAACAAATGCTCAAAAAGTGAAAAAAAGCTAAAAAATGGCAGTAAAAATCCTCCAAGCGTCACAGCACCAGAAACAGAAAAGTAAAATGTCCAAAAAATACAGTTTTTCTTGAGAAACTAGAAGAAAATATGCCCAAGAAAAGGCAAAACTTACATAAAGTCAACATGTAGCCGCCCAGAGCAGCGCAGTTCCGAGAAAAAAAAATCAATTTGTATTATAGTCTGATCTGTATGCTTATCAATTTATCATGTTTTCACATAATTCCACATCTCTAATTCTCCCTTTTCTTTTAGATCCAGAAAAGTCTTTTGACACCAGTAGAGAACAAAACATCACTTGATGTCAGGCCCAAACCCAGCCACACTTCTCCAGCTTTGTCCAAGGCGCTGGCTCGAGTTCTCGGTGCAACAGAGATTAAAGAAAATGAAGCAGAAACAAATGATCCAAGCTCTCGATCAGAAGGTTGTACAGAAAACAAAACTCTATCAGGTGAGATGACTTATAATTCACAACTTTGGTAGTGTTACTCGTACAGATACTTTAGTAATAGAAAGGTGGAAAACATTAATGGGGAAAAGTTCATTTAAGGTAATTTTCTTACTTGCTCGTCAATCTGAGTACATCTGCTACATCAACATTAACTAAATGTGAACTTTATAATGTTTTTGCTGCATGTTTGTCGTCTGCATCGGGTGCAAAATCAGTTGAAACATCACTGAATCTGTATGATTTTGGTTTGAATCGTGTATTTGCTTTTATTCATTTATACTAAACATGAGATTTGTTTGTTACACGTATTCAAATCACTGGGCCGCACACCTTTGAATACAACCTATTTTATCCACACAAACAAATCTGCATAATTCAGAAACTTCTGGAAAATTGCTGCTCATTTCTGTTACCGTTTCTCTTCTGTACATACCAGTTATCTGGATCATAAAATGTCTATTTTTAGCTTGTATAACTTCTTTACACTTAAGGTGTAAAGCCTATTAAAAACTGCTCTCTAGAATAAGCATAAATGCACATTAACCACAGGAATGGACGTTAGTGAGGTACCATCCACAGGCCAACTAGTGGAAGTGCACTGCATATTTCTTGAACAAAAAAGTCAGATAAACCATCTACGTCTGGATTATTTAATCACGTGTCACCTTTCAGCACCCAGCTCTGAACGTGTACTTCTGTTAGTTTAATTTTATCTTTTTTTAATGTGGTATTTAAAGAGCAAGTCGCCCCCTACCAGAGTATTACTTCCTGTTTGAAAAAATGCAACAAATGCTGTTGCCTAGCAGACTGAGTCGGAGCCGCTAACAAATACACACACACAGGCTCACAACAACATTGTGACATCATATGGTACCAGCTAACGTTCTAGGGTACCTCTTAGCCAATAGCGATGGCAGATTTAAATTCAAATGCAGTGCAGAGTTTTTACCTGACAACGGCACAACACTGACAGTTTTAGGCAGAACATTAACATTTTAACTAAAATGCACTAAAGTGCAAAACTATTGACTACACGTGTCTGCAGCACGATTAGACACACATTTATATAGTTTATCAGAAAAAAAGCAGATTTGGGGGTGACTTGCTCTTTAACACAAAGTGAGATGAATTTTGGGTTATGTAGCATCTTAAACAACAGGGTATCCGCGGGTCCTTAAAAAGTCTTAAATTTGCCTTTCCAAATTTAAGGCCTTGAAAATCCTTAAAAATGACAAATAATCCTTAAATCCAGTTTCCAAAGGTCTTAAATTACCAAAGACCCAATAAACAAGATTATTTTATTTCTATAAAAATTTTCATGAATTTCTAGTTGGTGTTCAGCATTTTTTGTGTACGATGTTGGCGTAAGCGGAACCGTACACATTCAGCTGGTTGTGAAAGGGGGCTGTTTTTAGATGAGCACGTTAGCTGGTTAAGCTAGTGGGAGCTTGCGCCATGGGGAAGTGCAAATGTAATAGTAACTGGATGGCTAATCCCACGTTCGCGACGTGGTTAGCACCGGTTCCAGGCAATAGCTGGAAATTATAGCTTAAATTTAATTTTAAAAATAGCTTAAATTTGGTCAAAGTGGCCTTAAAAAAGGTCTTAAAAAGTCTTAAATTTGGCTCCCTTAAACCTGCAGATACCCTGAAACAAGAAGCGGTGATGTTGATAAATAGCAAGCAGAAAAATAAGAGTACGAAAAAGAGTGACACGCTGAGGGTGTGCTGCCTGATGACTCAAAACAAAAACAAAGTATGTGCAGAAACCCAATGATACATCATTACTAATACAATACATGGCAACCAAAAGTGCAATATAAGCCAATACAGGTGTAAATAAAGTACACAACGATTAGGGACCCCACTGCTCCTTATTGTTTAATTGTAATGATTAGTATTTGATGCTTTTTCTATGCTTCAACGTTCTGAGTCTAAGCTCTGCACAATAATTTTTATGTACCCAGACCAAGTGTGTGGGTGTAAAAATGGCTTCTGATCTTAATCTGAGGGACACTTCATCTGAATTTCAGGAGATTAATGAGAAAACGGAACCGTTGAAGTTATTTATCGACCTTTGCACCGACGTCACCTAATCACGTGGGTCCACCATGGTGGACGGCAAAAGCATGTAAACAGTGAGCGACACGATTACTAAACAAAGGGAAAAGTAGAGCCTGAAATTGTTTTTGTGATCAAAACAAAAACAAAACTCCTCCAGCATTCCTTCCACTAGTTCATGCCCAGTTCAGTTATCAGAAGAAGTAGCTCATCTAGCGGGGCTCATAGATAGCGGTATGCTAGCTAGCTTACCAACGTTAGCTTACGTTCTCTCTGCAGCTGTTCACCGATGTAAACATGCTGCTGACTTTGCCTACATTCACCCCTCTGGATTGATCACTGCTGTTCATCTCCGTCCTCAGTCTCCATCAAAGTTATTAAAAAGAAAAAACGAATTGAGTTTACATCCTTGTCTGTTAGTGCAGCCGACCACGCAGCAAGCTAAAACCATTTTACTGTCAAATCAACTAAATAAAAGCAATAAAAGGCTCCAAACTGGCTTGTTTTGACTAGCTTCACTGGAGTTTCTATGGATGTAAACGGTCTGCCAGGTGAACACACAATACAAATGTTTGAAGCATTAAAATAAAAACGTGTTTGGCTATAATCTGAAATGTACTTAAATATGTTTGAGTGATTTAGAGTGAGAAGTAATGAGAGCAATTTATATTTTAAAGAAAAAAGTATTTGTTTTTCTTCATGTGGTGATTCAATGGATCATCTCTCACTAGCTTCTGCCAAAATAACATTAAATATAGGAAAGTCTGCGGCCTGAAGACCCGGTTCCGGATCTAAATCTAGTACATCGGAGGAGTGTGAGACAGACGTGGTCTGGTTCTCCCACACGGATCCTCACTCTGGGATTTGTCCCAGCCTCAGCAGCACATGTTCGGGAGATTTCTGGCGACAGACGCCGTTTTGCTCTCGCGCAGCGCGTCTGTTTACTGCACGAATGATGCGTTCAGGGTCCAGACGAAGGACTGCAGCATGTGGGCTGTGGATGAATGCGGGCTCAGGCGGGCTGAGTCCGTTTTCTGAGGGCAGATTAGCCCCGCTGATGAAAACTCGCGTCGGTTCGGCTCGTGTATCCTCACGTGACCTGAGCACGCGCTGTGTTGATTTTAGGTCGACGCAGACTTGAGATTTAATTTGACTGGCTTCCATAGTCCTCTACGAGCATGCGCAGTGCGCCCTGCCCCCTCCCCCGCTCATTTAGTTAAGCCAGCACTATTTCACACAGTCGCCCTGCTTCAGGTGAATGAATCCGAGCGGACCCGATGCGGGCTCCCGTGCAGCTGTACAGTTTCCTCCTGGTTGTTGGTGAAAACACATCTCAGCTTCTGTCGTGTCCGTTCACAGTCAGCAGCAGACATGGTGCTGCTGCTGTGCTTGGTTTGGTTTAGAGAGACCGAGCTGAAAGTAGGTCGGGCTGGACTTAAGCGGCTTAGCTACGTCAGCCTAAGCTGAGAGGAATTCATCCAAAGCCCTCCTCGGTAGGCGGGGGCCTAAACGAGGCTGGCCTAGTTAAGCCTGATTCTTATTGTAAGCAGCACTGCCAGTTTTTCTTGGTTTAGCGTAGCTGTGAGAGGACCCAGGACCAGAGTTTGTAGCCACAGTTCATAGCCAGTGATGGATCTGGACAAGGAGAGAGCCATTTAGTCATAAATTAGAGTTAGGCCTTTGTGCCATCGTGGATCAAAAGAGAGCAGAGGGGATAAAACAGAAAGAAAAGGCAGCTGAGCAAAGTGAGGAGCCACTGAGAGAGGGTCCTAGGCCTGACTGGGACTGTGGAGGTCCACTATGCTATAGGATGGCGTCCAGCGCGGTGTTTCTGTCCAGCATGGTGGGCAAAGCTCGCTCTTCCAACTTCACCCTCTCTGAGAAGCTGGACCTGTTGAAGTTGGTTCGCCCTCACATCCGCATCCTGGAGGAGCACACCAACAAACACGCCGTCATCGTGGACAAGAACAAGTGCTGGGACACCATCGCAGAGCAGTACAACGCCTTGGGAGGGGACAGGCCCCACAGGACCGCTCAGGGCCTCAGGACTCTCTACAAGAGGCTGAAGGAGTCAGCCAAACAGGAAGTGATGCAGAGGAGACACGCCCAGCCAGAGTACAGAGTGAGCATCTCAGAGCCAACCAGGAGGATTATGGAGATGATCCCTCACCTGTTTCACCATGTGCCCATACATGAGAAGGACCAGGTTCTACGCAGGTACAGTGTTAGACTTGTCAGCACGCACACACGCACACACACACACACACACACACACACACACACACACACACACACACACACACACACACACACACACACACTTGGCTCTGAAATGTGCATCTCAGCATCACTGATAACAGAAAAATTAATGGCGTTCTACAAGTTTTCTTTATTCTTATTCACAGTTTGCTTTTCTAACTTAGTTTTGATCTCGATCAGATCAAATAAACCTAAGTCACTGTTTAGTATCACCAATTAATCTTCAGTTTTAACGGTTTACTCCAAAAATACACGCGTAACAAGGCAGGTAGAGGGTCTTCGTATAGATGAGGCTGTGACTGACAGCAGATCTAAGAATTTCACCGTTAACGAGGCCAGACAACTATGAAATAGTAAATTCAATTCAAGTTTATTTATAAAGCGCCAAATCACGACAAGAGTCGTCTCAAGGCACTTCACATAATAAACATTCCAATTCAGATCAGTTCATTAAGCCAATCAGAAATAATGTTTCCTATATAAGGAACCCAGCAAATTGCATCAAGCATATACAGCAATCCTCATACTAAGCAAGCATAAGGCGACAGTGGAGAGGAAAACTCCCTTTTAACAGGAAGAAACCTCCAGAGAATCCTGGCTCAGTATAAGCAGCCATCCTCCACGACTCACTGGGGATCGAGAAGACAGAGCAGACACACACACACACACGCATGCACGCACACACACACACACGCGCACGCACGCACGCACGCAGACAAACAGACAGACAGACAGACAGACAGAGACAAGTAATGTGTCTATAGTTATATTGTGATTTCTTAGTAAATATTCTATTAGGTGAGAGATAAACTTTATTGTATTTATCCTAGTGAATCTATAATTAAACGGGTAAACTAGTAGTAGCACGTCCAACGTCAAAGAGAGTAAAAAGTTATTATCAGGAGAGGGAGAATGTTTAAGTGGTTAGCAGCAGTGTGCTAGACGATGGCCCCCTCCACGAGGCCACCACAGCTCAGCAGAACATCATTGTAGCTTCTTCTGGGGAGAAAAACACTTAGAGAGAAAATAAAGTTAACAGCTGAAATTTCAGAAAATAATACAGTTAAAGAGCAGATTGTAGAAGAAAGCAGTAGAGTGTGAAAAGTGGTCAGTGTATCCTCCAGCAGTCTAAGCCTATAGCAGCATAACTACAGAGATAACTGGATAATCTATCCTATTAAGATGGAGGCGTGTTGGAGGCAGGGCAAGGGAGAGCCGTCTTGTATTTAGTTACATGATGCTATGAAGAGTAAGATATGGGAGCAAAATGTTTCGTTATACTTATCTGTCATTTGACTTATTTTGATTATAAGCACACACTCCAGTTTACAAATCTTCCTCTTTTGCCCTTTTTCAGGTTAATTTACAAGCACAACTCTCCTGCCGAGCATCCTGGCAGCAGGTCCTCCCTGGCTGGAGTCCAGGATTACTCTGTAGCTCTTCCAAGTACCCCTCATGAGGTTGTCCATCAGCTGGACCCTGTAGAGGACGTAAAACCACCGCCAGAACTCCCCATCGTCCCCTCACACACAGGGCCAGGGGTGGATGGGGTGCAAGAGCAAGAGCAGGATCTAAGTAGCACCCACAACTATGAAGCGTCCCTGTCTCCCTCTCCGTCGTCCGTTAACATCGCCCTCTCTGCATCGCCGCTGCCGCTACAGCACGACGACTACTCAGGAGACTTCTACCCTCACCATGAGTCAGACAGGTGTCGTCCTCTTCACCTGGTTAAAGAGGAGCACGATTTGGTGTTAGCCAATCACAGGAAGGTTGCTCTCTACCTGGAGGAGAAGAGGGAGGGTCTGAAGAGGAAGCAGGAACTGGAGGAGGAACTTCTGAAAGCCAAAATCAAAGTGGAGAAGCTAAAGGCAGCTCGACTGAGACACGGGCTGCCAGCTCCTCTATAGAAAGAAAGAACACGCACACTAACATTCACCTTTACAAAGGGAGGGACTCCGACGTTTGCTGTTTCTGGCGAACAGTCAAGATTCATGTTTGAGAGCAAAGTTTGTATTTTTTCAAACGTAGTGCCTCACATAGACTTAGATAATTAGCTTGTTTACTGTATTTGCTTCATTCATAGATATCGGTGTTAACGAGCGTTTCAGACCAGATCCCATTAGGGGAAAAAACGTCAACACGTCATGAGCAGTTGGGCTGAACGAACCATCACACGTTTAATTTAAATTTTTAAAGATTTGTTCACTGAGAACCTGTCTCTCGCTCGTTCTTTTTTAAGTCTGATCAGTGGCTCTGAGTGGCAGGTGGAAAAACTTTCAACCCCCGTCGTCCGCATTGGTTGCAGAATGGACACGGGTGGGAAAACGATGAAAGCCAGTCTCTTCTGTGAGTGCGTTTACATGCAGCCAGTAACCCTTTTAAAACCCGAATATTCACAATAACCCGGTTCCGCAGGTCCATGTAAACACCGCCAAAAACCCGGATATGCTCATAACCGGGTTTTTAAATACTACACCTGGGGTAACCCTTTTCTAACCCGAATGTTTGGTCGTGTAAACACATACCGGGATATCCCCATCAAAGCGTGTGTTCTGCGCATGCTCTGTTCGCAAGGAATCTTGGTCTTTTGAGTAGCGAGACGTCTTGTATGCGCCAGAACACCGGAAGTAAACAACAAGTTGGGAGCAACATGGCGAGTCGCGGCACAGCACCACACTTTTGGAGTGACGAGGAAACTGAAGCGCAAAGAAACGCGGTCGCTATCTCTTCCGAACTGGGAAACATGTTGTTGTTTTCACGGATACCGGAACAAGAAGAACCGGAAATGACGCATATTGCGCCAGGACGTAGTCCATACGTCCTGACGCTACCCCAACGTCCGCATTTACATCGGGTTATGCAAGTTAGGGGTAACTCTTTCTATTTATGCTTGTAAACGGGTTATTCTGATCAACTCAGAAACCCGAATACCGACCTTAACCCGATCATAACCCGGATATTGGCTGCATGTAAATGTAGTCTATGTTGCTGGGAAAATTAGTTTTCATGGCCCCGCCCTCTTTGACTTGTGACAGCAGACAGCTGTGTTGATTTAGCATCCAGGGCGTGTCTAGGCTAGCAGAAGCTAATCATTAGCATGAGAAACTCCACAACATAGCGGAACACGTTCAGCCTTGTTATCTGTGGAAATGACACATAAGCGTTGCATTTTTCACCCAAGAAAGAAGAACAAATGGGAGTGAATATGCTGTTAGCCAATCAGACAAGTCGTTTGCATATCATGAATGTTAATGAGTAAACCTAGAAATCCAGCAGTTTTCAGCCCCCCCCCACTCCAACTAACTTCTGCTCCCTGAAACAGGAGCGCCAGAACTTTTTTTCCCCCCACACAGAAAACAACTTATTTATTCATACAACCAGTACACGACTCACTGCCATGATGGGTTATGTTCTACACGTTTTATAAGTTGAGGAACCACGTAATATTTGTTCTTTTTGAAATGCGATCGGTCACTGAGTTGAATATGAAGGCTGAACATTGAAATTTACTTCAGCCATAATTGGGCCGTAAAAATCCAGTCTCTACATCACAGGGAAAACGATCGTTCGTGGCCTCCCCCACTTTGGCTTGCGATCGCACTTGTGAGGGAGACGCCCGGAGGCGTCTAACTCCACCATATAGAGGAACACATTCAGGCTTGTGTCATCTGTGGAGATGAAGCATTGATGGTGCATTTTCCCCAAGAAAATACTTTTTACAGTTTTTTGAGTTTTGTGACTGAAGGCAGCGGAAGAGTTGCATTGCTGTTGGTCATTACATGTCATTGATTTTAAAGGTGCAGTAGTTTATCTTGGAAAAAGCCGTTCAAGCAAAATCTTGAAAAAACAAATAACAATCCAAAGCTCTGACCCTGTTTTTCAGCCTCCCCCCTCGAGTCACAGAATCTGATGGTTGCAGAAAACAGCACAACACCTTCTTGTGACACGAGCACCAACTCCGAACCAAAACTAATCCCATTTGCTTTGGGCGCTATAAATAGTATATTATGCTAGCATTTTTAGCATTTGGTGTTTTCATCCGCGTAAGTCACACGTGACATGACCAGGAAGCAGAAAATCCATGTGTTAGGAGATCGTTTTGGGCCGTTCCTGTAAAAAAAAAGTGAGGCGCGAACCAGAAAAGCGTCTGCCGATCACAATTCGACAACGGATTATGAAAGAACGGATAACGCTCGAAACACGTGGATTCTTCCTGACGTAAGAGGTGAGTCTCCGCTTTGTTTTGGTTGTTTTGGCGTCGACATCGTCCTAGCGCGCAACGTTCTGTCACTCTTAAAAAAACGGTGAGAAACGCTGGCAGCGAATGAGTTAAAGAGCAAGTCACCCCCATATCAACCTTTTTTCCTGATAAACTACATAAATGTGTGTCTAATCGTGCTGCAGACACGTGTCGTCAGTAGTTTTGCACTTTAGTGCATTTTAGTTGAACTTTTAATTTTTTGCCTAAAACTGTCAGTGTTGTGCCGTTGTCAGGCAAAAACTCTGCACTGCATTTGAATTTAAATCTGCCATCGCTATTGGCTAAGAGGTACCCTAGAACGTTAGCCGGTACCATATGATGTCACAATGTCGTTGTGAGCCTGTGTGTGTGTGTGTGTGTGTGTGTATTTGTTAGCGGCTCCGCCCTCTCGGTCTGCTAGGCAACAGGATTTGTTGCATTTTTTCAAACAGGAAGTGGGAGCGGAGTAATACTCTGGTAGGGGGTGACTTGCTCTTTAAACAGGAGAGAGAGCTAAAAGAAAACAACTCGCAAGGCATTCATTGACATGAGAGACCTCGGCAACTTTTTAAATCGAGCATAAATGAGATCTTTAAACAATTTAAAAAGTTGTGTTCAGGGACTCAGTTGTTGTTTAACTGGTAGTTTGGTAAAAGAAAAAAGGGAATACTGCTAGTTACCATTTGGTGTAATTGTTGGTCATTGTGAGTTTGCCATGAATTGTGTTTGTGTACAAGTGTTGATTTGTTTTACAATTTATCTTCATGTTATTTTTATTAAAATTAATGTTGTTAATAAACCTGAATTTCTGTCTTGAGCCGGTAAAGAGTTCAAACGATGACGTTAATCATTTGATTTTGCCTTGACAGGTTGTTTATTTTTAGTTTGTGAGGGAAGGAGGCTCCATTTATGTTTTAGCTGAGTTTAAAGACTTTAAGCAGCAGCGACCTCTGCTGGCCACTTCTCTAACTTGCATTCTGTTTGATATTTATTACACATTCAACCAATTTCCTTTACAATTTTGCCTTGCAGGAAGAAACCAAAGTCCCACATTGACTCGTGGAGATCTTCAGACGCCTCAGCATCGTGCTTCTGGAGCTGCAGGTTCAGACTCCGCCTGCAGTAAGGATGGAGTTCGTTACTTCAGTGTGGTTTGGTGTAAGGCCAGTAAGAAGAAACACAAGCGCTGGGAGGGCGATGCAGTACTGATCACAAGAGGACGCTCCGTCTCGCTCAAAGATATGGAAGGGAAGGACATTGGAAAGGGTGATGGCAAAGTTTTAGTTGTTTAGCGTAAACTTAAACTTCCATTGTTTTACTTACTTTTTTTAGAGGTCTGACCACACAAGCGTTTAGATCGTCCTGGCAACATGTTTGTGCTCTAGGAAGTGGCTACAAGGTGTCGCAGCTGGCCTCGCTGTCTGAGGGAGAAATGCTGATGATCGGAGGAAAAGAGGTGGAGGTGATGGGAGTTATTTCTGCTGACGACTTTGCCAAGGGCCGTTGTTTCCAGGACATCCAAACAGATCAAGCAGAGTCTGCTACGAAGCCCGCTCCACCTCTTGGCTCGGCCTCCAAACCGTTCTTCCCCCCTACAACGTTGGGACGAGCAGGGCGTCCAGAGCCCAAGCCAGAGGAGGAACAAACCTGCCGTCCTCGTCACAACCCGCTCGCTCCAGGTCTGTAGACTACATCGGGATCTTCTTCCTTCTGGGAGTTGGATTTTCTCACGTTAAAGTCGTCATTTTTAGGTGCTCTAGTGATGCCCCGCCCCTCCTCCAACCACCAGTGGCTTCACAATAAAGCAGCACTTCCTGTAGTTGATGTAGTTGTCGACACACACCTGACCACACACCTGCGACCCCACCAGAGAGAGGGCCTCCTCTTCCTCTACGAGTGTGTTATGGGCATGAGGTGACTCTTTCTAATCGGAGGTGTTTAAAAATCACCACTTCTGCTGTGAATGCTGAGCGCTCTTTCGTGTGTGTCTGTTTCAGAGCTGCGGGTCGCTACGGTGCCATCCTGGCTGACGAGATGGGACTGGGGAAGACCCTTCAGAGCGTGTCCCTGGCCTGGACGCTGCTCAAACAGGGACCTTATGGTGGGAAACCAGTTGTGAGGCGTGTTCTTGTGGTCACACCTGGCAGCCTTGTGCAGAACTGGAAAGCAGAGTTCACCAAGTGGCTGGGTCGTGAGCGAATCAGCGTTTTTACCGTGGATCAGGTTTGGAGATGAGAGGACGTTTGTTTATCTTTTAGTTTAGGGCAAGAAGAAGGGACATTTCCTCTTGATCAGAATTTATTTTTACTTGTACTTTTATCCTTTATTATTTGTCTCTTCGGTCAGTTTGAGCAAATTTCTGAAATACTGTAAATAAAAAAATGACTTTTTAGCACAAATAAATTCTTAATCTTTAACATTTTGTTCAGGAGCACAGAGTGGAGCAGTTTGTGTCGTCTCCTCTTCACAACGTTCTTGTCATCAGCTATGAAATGCTGCTGCGCTGCCTGGAGCAGGTTCAGTAGCTTCACCTTGCGTCGCTCGCTCAAGTGTGCGTTGAAGAGACGGGTGTCATCTTTATCTTTAACTCTCAGGTGCAGAAAGTGGAGTTTGGTCTCGTCATTTGTGACGAGGGTCACCGGCTGAAGAACAGCAGCATTAAAACGTCATCTGCTCTCAGCAGCCTCACCTGTCAGCGTCGAGTCATTCTCACAGGTACGTGGAGCTGAAGTAACGGCTAAATCAGAAGAAAACAGCTTTTCTGAGATGAGGGGATTCATAGCTAGCTTCCTTTCTTTATTGTAAGGGACGCCCGTCCAAAACGACCTGCAGGAGTTCTACGCTATTATCGAGTTTGTTAACCCGGGGATTCTTGGGTCAGCCACTGCGTACAGAAAAGTGTATGAGGAGCCCATTCTCTGCTCCAGACAGCCATCCTGCACAGAGGTGTACCACCTTTTGTCCCTCGTTTGTGATCTTCTGTCGCAGAAGCAGTTTTAACTCGTGTCTTGTGTCTGCTGCTGTCTAAAGGAGGAGAGAGTTCTGGGAGAGGAACGAGCGACTGAACTCTCCCGCCTCACCGGCATGTTCATTCTGAGGAGGACGCAAGAGATCATCAACCGCTACCTGCCGCCTCGTCTGGACTGGACCTTGTTCTGTGAGCTGTCTCCTCTGCAGCAGCACCTGTACAAGCACCTGCTCTGCCACCGAGTCTTCAGAACCTGCCTTCAGGGCTCGGGTCAGACCAACACACACCTGGCCTGCATCACTGCACTGAAGAAGCTCTGTAACCATCCTGGTTTGCTCCACATCACCATGAAGGTTCAGGAATGGCACATCTGATTATCAGTGAGAAAACGTTACACACGGCTGGTATTTTTAAGATTTGGCTGCATTTGTGTTGTTTGGCAGGAGAGAACGGACCGTGGAAATGTGGAGAGTTCTTTATATGAGGGCCTTGCAGATCTCTTCCCAGAATCCTACTCTTCTGCAGGATTCAGTACCGCTGATTCTGGAAAACTGATGGTTCTTTCAGACCTGCTGAGTGCAATCAGACAGCTCAGCCCTTCAGACAGGTGTGTGTGTGTGTGTGTGTGTACGTTCACACGCTCTACACGCCGAACATCTCTTGGTTTAACATGCGTGTCCCTGCAGGGTGGTTCTGGTGTCGAACTACACTCAGACTCTGGACTTGCTCCAGGACCTGTGCGTACACATGGGCTACACATTCTGTCGGCTGGATGGCCACACCCCCACCAGCCAGCGACAGCGACTGGTCGACAGTTTTAACAGTCCCTACTCGCAGAACTTCCTGTTTCTGCTGAGCTCTAAAGCAGGCGGGGTGGGGCTTAATCTGATCGGCGCTTCCCATCTGGTCTTGTACGACATCGACTGGAACCCTGCCAACGACATCCAGGTGAGACTCACCTGTACCGTAATAAATGTTCTTATCAAAGTGACTATAGCTGTTTTTACAGGATCAGAGCGTTTGCATAACGGGATTTACCGCGGCACCCTGGGGAGGGTTTTGGCCATCAGGCACCTCTCCAACCAAGACGGGATATAGGGAGGTCGCTGGGCGGCCCCCCCGCATGAGAAGTACAGGGTCACGCATTCAGCGTCAGACGGAAGACACGTCAGACTGATGAAATTCCTTTTTCAGGACCTTTAGCTTTGATGTGACCTGCTTTTTGTCCCGCCTGACGCTCAGCCGGTGTTTTCACCACTCTGTCGAACAGCTGGCTGTCTCTCACCGTCCCCGTAAAAAGGCGACTAATCTGTTCGTCCGCTCGCACGAACAAAAGCTCCATGGTCTCCGCGTCCGTCCAGCCAGCTTTCCTTCCGGCCGGCACTCGGCGCGCAGTACACGTGACTAACGCAACCACCCTCTTTTGCGGGGGCGGGGCCTCCCACAGTCGCTCCAAAGGGATTAGCGGGGCTGACGCGCATTTAGCCGTCATGGCGATGGGCTCATGCGGCAATATCACTACGAGGCTAAGCGCATCAGAATCGAGTTTTATCACCTTTCCCCTTTGCTCCATGCCGCGTTTACGAGACCCACGAATTCAGATTTATCGCTCTGTAATGACGCGATGGTCTGTCTTATAACAGAGGCTAATGTGCTGTCCTTTAGCTCGTTTATCTTACCGGTAACCGCATCCAAACTACAGAAAATGCCCGTTTAACTTGACAAAGCATCGTTTTATGATTGTGTGGACTTGATCATAAATTGAATCCTAAATTTTAACCTGAGATATTATTTGGTGTGTATTTATTTCACCTAGCTATTCCAGATTTGTGGGATCTCAGAAACATAAAAAAACAAACATTATTTTGAACAAATAATAATAATGTGTAGTTGTATAAATATATATTATAAATGAAATAAAGGCTTAAGATAAGTCAAATAAAATATTCCAGTCCACATTCTAGGTCCGTCTTACCAACAGACGTTTAGTAGAACATTTGAAAGGACAGAACTGAAGTGAAATCTTGATTTTGTTTATTTAAAACCACGACGGACCCCACATGCAGATTAGAAAACTTTCTATTTTTGTTCTATCTGTAGATCTCTGGGGTTTGCTGTTAAAACGCTGAAACAGCAAATCATTTTGTTTTTCTCTGTTTCACTAAAATAAGTCAAAAAGCTCTCGTGTGCCCCCCCCCCCACTAGATGGCAGTCTGCTAATTTGTCTTCCTCTGAGCTTTTTCCTGCTGTGCTGTCCAGGCCATGGCTCGAGTGTGGAGAGATGGACAGAAAAAGACGGTGCACATTTACCGTCTCCTCACTGCAGGCAAGAAGACAAAAGCAGTAGAAAGGAGTCAGAGTTTAACTTGTTGTCTGCGGTTTGGTTTCACGTGTGTGTGTAAATGCATCTCAGGCACGATCGAGGAGCGCATATTCCAGAGGCAGGTGTCCAAACAGGGGCTATCGGGGACTGTGGTTGATTTGGGAAAAGGGGCGGAGCACACAAGCTTCTCCACCAACGAACTCCAGGATCTTTTCAGCCTGTCCGACACGCCGTGTTTGACTCACGACCTGTTGACCTGTGGCTGCAGCACGGATGGTTCAGTCAGCGGTAAGCTCGTGGACACGCCAAGGCTGCAGCCTTTTTCCTGTAAATCCCTCACTTCTCTCGTCTTCCTCAGATGTGGTGGTGGAAGAGGCGGAGCCTGTCTCTGATAGACCGTGCCAGCTCGGTCGTCAAGGTGACCGTAGGGGGGCGGCACAGAAGCCTCTGAGTATGTCTGAGCTCATGCAGTGGAGACACTTCTCTGGTGACACACACACCTTCTCAGACCCGTACCTCGATCACGCACGAAGCCACATCTCCTTCGCCTTCCAGACCACCGTCTCTCACGCGTCCCAGTAAACACTTCGCTGCATTTTTGTTCGGATTCTTCATGATTTTCCCACACGATGCCATTTCCAACAGTGTTTAATAGAGAAATCTTCAGTCGTAACCTAAACTTTTCCCATTTTTCTTTACTTATTTGATGTAATTTAATGTAAAATTTCTAAAAATAAATGTTTTTCTAAAGGAGTGTTCGTAAAATAAACTTTTATGGAGTTTTCTCCAGTCATGACAGAGAACGTAGGCGGGGCATTTATGACTGCAGTTG